TGGGCAGCGGGGAGGGGGCTGTGCGACCCTGTCACACGGAGGGGCAATGGCTTTTCTTTTTCCCAGGCCCAGCGCTGTGACATCTGTTCACACTCAGCTGCTCCATCAGACGCCAGCGGCTGACCATGCTGACCGGGAACGCTGGCGCTTCAGGGCAGGTTCCTCAGCTGTCTCCTTCCTCCCCCGGGCCAGGGATCCCAAGTGGTACAGGGGAAGAAGCCTTCTGTTTGCTGTAGCTCTGTCTGCATACGCATGACGGTCTTCCTCACTTCGTTTCTTAAAAGCCAGGATTAACTGGCAGGCTGCTGTCAGACCTGTGAGCCCTGGAGATGAGCCCGCCAGGCACCCTCCATAATTTGAGTACGGCAAACAGAAGGGCTCTGCCTGAACAACAGACTCCACAGGTTTCCCCACAGTGGGGATGGGGTGGGGGGAACCTGGTTATAAGCAGTCTCCAGCGGTAGCAGAAGGTGTGAGATTGCGCATAAGCAATGTACCGCGGATTCTTTATGGGATCACAGCACCTCGAGGCTAATGATTGTATTCTGCAGTTACGCTTAATAATTGGAGACTGATACTACTGCGCCGTTTGTCTTCAGCTCTGTCCAAGTCCAGCAAAAGAGCTCAGCTGTTGTCCAGAAAAAATCCTACGTCCCCACTAGCAAGGGCGAATATATTGTCACCAAACTCGATGACCTGATCAACTGGGCACGAAGGGTGAGTCCCTGAAACTGTTGTGCTCACTAGGGGGAAATGGTATCAAATGCTTTGAGGGGCTGGTGGGAAATGGATTTGAGCCATCTCCTCCTCAGGACAAAAATAGGTTCAAAATTCTCCACAGGGAAACAGCCAAGTTTCTTGGCCAGAGGTTGACATTTGGGGTACTGTGTCAAAGTGGGAGAGAGACGCTTAGTGTGAGGGTGGTGCAAAGCAGCGCAGGCCGCTGGTCTAAACAGAGCTGCCCTTCAGTAACCAGCAAAAGGCGGTTTCTGGTTTTACGCAGCCCTTGTAATGAGCAGCTGCTCGGTGCAGTGGAGAAGGCTGCACAAGTGACACTGCCCTGAATCCAGTGTGCTCTGGCTTAGCTGAGTTTTGCCTTCCCCAGTCGCCACTGCCCTTGTGCGGGGCTTTTGAGGTGGCCGCTTTAGCAGCGTGAGATGCAAAGGGGAGCGTCTGCTCAAAGAGCACGTTCAGCATCTCTGTGGCTGCAAACGCGCAGATCTCTGGAGCCGTGGGGTTTGCTCTCCTGTGTAATGGCAAACGATGTTTTGATTTATGATGCTCTGACTAAACAGACCTTGAAACTTCTCTTGTTGTTTCCTTTTCTATCTGATCAACTCTTGTTTTGTCAGTCACCTGCCCAGGGTCTCAGCTCCTGCTTTCAGCGTTCGTACCCATAACCCGCATCTCTCCTGCTGCAGAGCTCCCTATGGCCGATGACATTTGGCCTGGCGTGCTGCGCTGTGGAGATGATGCACATGGCTGCTCCTCGCTACGACATGGACCGCTTTGGGGTGGTGTTTCGGGCTAGTCCCCGGCAAGCTGATGTCATGATTGTGGCTGGCACCCTGACAAACAAAATGGCTCCGGCTCTTCGGAAGGTACAGACTGCGCTGGATGCCTCATGCACAGCTGCGCGTGCCGGACGCAAGTGGAAAGCGGTCTGAAATGTCTGTGTTCTGCAGGTCTACGACCAGATGCCGGAGCCTCGCTACGTGGTCTCCATGGGGAGGTAAGTAAGTGCCGGGACATCCTTATCGCCTTGTCCTCCGTGAGAGAAATCTGGTGTCTCTGCTTGAGTGGGGGGGATGAAGGGAAGGGAACCCATTTCTCATTTGTATTTCCAGCCCCTTAAATTATATAAAGAGGCCTTGTTACAACTGGAACATAAAGACTCCCTTTGATTAGGGCGAGGGGAATGATGTCTGTCAAGTCGCTGTGAACTGCACAGTCTTCCCAGTGAAAGATTCTGGGGGTTTTGCAGCTGTCAGAGTCTGGGGATGTGTATGTGTCCAGAATCTCAGAATTTGCATTTAGACGAAAGCTTTCAAAATGCTTCTACTGTGCAGCACGAAATCTGAGCTCCGCGGAGCTTTGGCGTGGTGGAACTGACAACTTGTTCGTCTCCCAGAGCTGCTGGGGCCGAGGGCGGCCATTTCACCAGGGCCTGGAGGGAACAGAACGAGTTCTGGAAACGCTCTGTGCAGAAATGGCAAAATAAAAAAGGTTTTGCAGTAGAAAGGAAGGACCATCTGAATATCTGCTTTGTAAGAATAACGAAAACGGTTCGGTTTGGTTTGATTCAGCTTGAAATGTGACAGCCTGTGAGTGCGAGTGTAGCCTCTGCCTTCCAGCCAGGGCTCGTGGAGAGGCTGAATGGCCACGGCGCAGACCTTGGCATCTGCTCCGTCGCTTGCTGTAACATCTGTCAGGTGGCTCCTTGCCTCACAGCGCTCGGACGCCGGGTTCACGTTCTCCTTTGCCTCCTGCTCATCTTTCCCCGGGGCCGCTGAGCCGCATTTAACAACGCGCTGAAACCCACCCATCTCTTGCAGCTGTGCCAACGGCGGGGGTTACTACCACTACTCCTACTCCGTGGTGAGGGGCTGCGACCGCATTGTGCCGGTGGACATCTACGTGCCAGGTAGGGAAAACAGCTCTGCGTGCCACTGCGCTAACTCAGAGCAGTGAAGTTAATTTTGTACATTTGGACGGTGCTTGGTGTAGTTTTTAAAGATCTTTCTGTTTCAAACTGTGTTGCTAAAGTTGCAGATGCTTCAGTAAGATCTGCCTGGGGTTCTCAGTAAGCGTGTGGAGTTCTGGTGCTGTTACTCACCAGTAACTGTTGTGTAAAGTGTGGGCTGTAGTTCGGTCAACCACACACTCTACTGTGAGGTACCACCTTGCTTAGAAGCAAAGCATTTCTATGTTTCATAAAGACCTTTTTGAAAAACACCATCACTTGAGTCTCTTTAAACAAGCCCTCTTGCTTTTATGAACTCTGCAGCCTGTGACGTACACAAAGCCAGAGGGAAATCGCAGCCTGCTTTGGGGCAAAGCCCGTGGCTTCTCGGTTCTCCTGCTGGCTACGTTTCCATGCAGCTGGCAGCCCCATGGGCTTCCTTTTTCTCTCTCTCGCAGGTTGCCCACCTACTGCTGAAGCTTTGCTGTATGGAATCCTGCAGCTTCAGAAGAAAATCAAACGGGAGAAGAAGATTCAGATCTGGTACAGGAAATAGCCTCTTATTTATGACCTACCCACTTACTGCCCACCTGGGCACCTGCTTGCATTCGTACGCACAATAAATCCGTATTTTCACGAGCCTTCCAATAAAACTCTACGTGGTTAAGATGCTCTTCTGTCTTTAGTATATCTGTCTTAGCTAAAGTGTTTTAACTTGTTTAATAACTGAATTAAAAAGCAGGAGTTGAATTGGATAACATTGTCTGTTGTTTTCTGGTCTGAAGAGTCTGAGAGAAGGAGAATGTTTGCAGTTACCTATTGTGACATAAATGCCTTGCCAGAAACCTGGGACTTGCTCTTCGGCTTTGTTAGGAAGTTTTGAGACCAACACACATCCAGGTGAACCCCGAGGCTTCCCTGAGCTCATCTCTTACCTCACCACCTGCTTTTTGTTTGTAATTCCTACAGAGGATCTAATAAATCTTTTCTATCTGTGTGCACAGCAGCCAGAAATTTAGATTTCTCTAACGTAAGTAAAATATTAATGCTTAAAATCAGAAAGTGAATGCTGCAGCACAATCCTTAGCACAGTAGGAATAACGCAGCCCATGGGGGGCTTTGGTAGTGGGTGCGTCCGGGGAGCTTGGTGTGGTGTTCTCCCAGCAGCCTGGGACAAGAAACAGTCGTGGCAGAATTACACACGCACTGCTGAAAGACAAATAAATTGCTCTGAAACAGCAGTTGTGTATTTCGTTCCTTTTTAATAGATATTATCCCTTCTGGGTAGAGAGAGGAAGCGACATTTATGTGCTGTTGAACTGCGAGGAGGTTGTTGGGATCAGACCTTGCTGCAGTGGCCTTTAGCCAAAAGTGTTGGGAAACTTCACAGGGGGAGTTGCTCCAGGAGCAGCCGAAATGCCTCCCCCTGCCCCGTCTTCCCATTTCTCTCACCTGGTTTAGATTATTTGGCTCGTGTGTGGAAAGCCCCCCCATGATTTCTAAAAATGATCCAGTCATCTCGTCCTTGGATCTCTTTGGCTAAAGGCTCTGAGCCAGGCTTTGAATTGCAGCTTAATTGAGGTATTTGGAGAGGAGGGCGAGTCTCGAGTGGAAACCTGGCCTCTGGGACAGACGCAGGGTGGGACCTTCCTCGGTAGAGCCCAGAAGACCCCCCCAGGGCAGGGGGCTGCATGGTGGGGCAGGGAGTCCCTTTTGTGCAGGAGGTCTCCTGGAGACCCAGGACTTCCACCCCAAGCCTCCAGCCATCTCCCACCTCCAGATAAATCAGCATCAATCTTCTCTCATTAGCATCAAAGGAGAGAGGAGCTTTTCTCCTCCTGGCAGCACATAATCGGCCTCTCCTCCTTAGGGTTTGCTTCCTGTGGCTTCGGGGCATCCCTGAGGGCCGGTGCCAGGTTGCTGCCGGCATCCTCAGTGCTTAACGACGGTGGGTGTGATCATCTTGTGGAAGGAGTAGTACCTGCAGTCCTTGGGGGGGACCAGGTCCATCACCGTCGTGCTGATGTTCTCCTTCTTGAACCCGGCCTCCATCAGATGCCCCACCTGGGTCTCCTGCGAGAGAGGAGGGGCAGAAAGGAGCAGCGATGGTTTGAGCTGCCGGGATGCAAATGGAGACGCTGCTGAGCCCCGGCTCGCAGGGACAGGGGACGGTGCAAGCAGGCGGGTGCAGGGAGCCCCATCTTGGGCTGCCGTGGGGAAAACCCCTCTGCCCTTCCCTCCGATGCTCCCTGCTGAGCCCCAGCCGTCACGGATGAGTTAAACGGCCGTGGAGTGCTCTGGCTCCCGCTGCCCCACAGCCACAGCGTTGGGCGAGCACCCAGGGACGCAGGAGGTGCACAGAGTGATGGGGCAGGTTTGGGGACCCTGGGTTGGGCTGGGGGTGCCAGGCCCACCCCAGCCCAGGCAACAACGCTCACCTCAAACATCTTCTCGATGTCGGTGTACTTGGTCTTCAGCAGCTCTCCCCAGGAGGTCAGGTTGCAGTAGGTGAGGACCCCACCGGGCTGCAGCAAGCGGAAGGCATGGTCCTGCAACGGGGATCGGGGGGG